AAAATGTGGTGGAGTACCACTTGCTTTAGTGGTAATTGCAGGAGCGTTAAGAGGTCGTCCGAATACAAATGATTGGCTAAGAGTTCAGAAAAATGTGGCAGAGCATTTTTATAAAAATACTCAAGAGGGCTGCTTGAAATTTGTAGAGATGAGTTACAATCGTTTGCCTCAAGAAGTACAGACGTGCTTTTTGTACTGCGGTGTCTTTCCTCGAGGCTTTGATATCCCTTCTTGGAAATTGATTCGTTTGTGGATAGCGGAAGGGTTAATAAAGCCTCAACAGACATACACTCCTGAGGAGATCGCTGAGTTTTATTTGAATGATCTTGTCAATAGAAATTTAGTGATATTGATGCGAAAGAAGTCTGATGGTCAAATAAAAATATGTCGTCTTCACGACATGCTGCATGAGTTCTGCAGAAAAGAGGCTAGTAACAAATGGCTTTTTCAGCAAATGCATCTAACGTCTGATCAAGCTATTCCTTCCATTCAAGACAAAGATACTTGTCGTCGGTTGTGCGTTCAGCCCTCTATTCTGAATCAGTTTCTCCTCGATAAGCCTATTGCAGAACATGTCAGATCTTTCTATTGTTTTTCCTCGGAACAAAAACAAATTGACTTGCCTCCTAATGACATCAAACACATCCACAAAGCATTTACACTTATCAGAGTCTTGGACGTTGAACCCGTCAAATTTCTTTTCTCCAAAGATTTTAACCAGTTATATCATTTGAGGTATGTTGCCATCTCAGGTGAATTCAAGACCCTTCCTCCGTTCTTCAGTAAATTTTGGAATTTACAAACTCTAGTAATCAATACAAGTACCTCAGAGTCCACCCTTGAAGTAAAAGCTGACATATGGAACTTGTTACAGTTAAGGCATTTCCACACCAACATACCTGCAAAATTACCAGCACCTGCTACCACGACCGGTAAAACTTCTTGTCTACAAACTCTTTCTATGGTCGCGCCAGAAAGTTGCAAGAAAGATGTACTAGCAAAGGCTTGTCTTCTTAAAAAATTGAGCATTCGAGGGCAAATGGCATCTTTTCTTGAACCCAAAGGTGGAATCAGCAATCTTGAAGAACTAAAATGCCTGGAACATTTGAAGCTGTTAAATGATGTTCTTTACATAAATAAAACAATTCACCTTCCTCCAGCATTCTTCAGACTCGTTCGGACAGTGAAGAAGTTAACTTTGGTAAACACAAGGTTTTCTTGGAGCGATGCGAATAAATTGGCACAGTTGGAACACCTGGAAGTCCTAAAGTTGAAGGAAAATGCATTCATAGGTAACTCTTGGACGCTGGAGATAGGATGTTTTAGCGCACTCCAGGTGCTGTGGATTGAAAGGTCAGACTTAGAATCTTGGATGGCATCAAGTTGTAATTTCCCAATACTTCGGCACCTTGTTCTTATCTCATGTGATAAACTCAAGGCTGTGCCACTTGGATTGGCTGATATACATAACTTTCAAGAGATGAGACTGCACGATAGCAAAGAAGCAGTCAAATCTGCAAAAGAGATAGAAAGCAAGAAACCGAAGTTCAAGCTCACCATATTCCCTCCGAAACTGATTCCAAGGACACACAGTGAAGGTTCAAAGGTTAGTCAAATTCATTTTAGGCATAATATATAAACATGACCATTAACTTGGCTTCAACTAGCAACTATGACCTTTTAACTTTGAGTGTGCACAAGTAGACACTTATACTTGTATAAAATTGAACAAATAGACACACTCGTCCTACATGGCACCCTACATCGCAACTTTATGTCCTACGTGTATTATGTCATGTAGGACACATGTGGCTACTTGTTCAATTTTATACAAGGTTAAGTTTCTATTTGTGCACCCTCAAAGTTGGAGGACATAGTTGTGCTTGAAGCCAAGTTAAGGGTCATGTTTATGTATTATGCCTTCATTTTATATTGAGATGATTAAATCTCTATTGGTTATGTCGACAAAAACTTTAGTTATTCTGAATTGCATTCTGTTATTACTTGTGTGAATGGTTCAACGAGGATTCATACTAGAAAATACTGTTCTTTTTATTCCAATATAAATTTATTTACTATGTTCCTCATTTCTGCAGGAGAGGATCGAGACATCGACCTTGTTGGGATCCTGGTTTCATGTATATGGAGTGTTTTTTTTTTCAGTTTTATTATTGTTTGCACCTTTTATTCTGTTTTTGTTGTATTTGCTTTGTTTCATTTTTGTGGAAGTGTTGCTTTTCGTCGTTGTTGTTTAATAGTTTGCGCCTTTATGGCTCATGTGTTGAAGGACCGTTGTTGTATAATAGTTTGCGCCTTTATGGCTCATGTGTTGAAGGACTGTTATTCTATGTTACTCAGACTCTTCAAAATTGTTAACAGGTGCTTGTTGGATTCTCTAAAATTAATGTATTTTTTGAGAATCCAATGTGGGTGCAACATCAAAAGTGAAGAGTCTATGCTACTAATCTGTTATTCTGAACAAATAAAATGTTTGCCTTACTTCCCACTTGGAATCTTTATGAGTTATAGTTCATTATAGTATTTTTGAATGGGAAGGTTATGAAGTTCAAATTATGAATCCGTACGAAAAACTGGTTTTCGACGAATTTTTCTTTCACTCACAAAAAACTTCAAAACAAAATTTCAAGTGAAATGCATGTTCTTGTAATAACCTGACCTTTCATTTTTAGTATTTGTGTTCTAGTTCATGATTTAGTATTTGGTTAAGTTGGTATTACACTTTTTACTTGATTAGATGGTTCGGGTTGAGACTAGATGGTGTCCGACTAGTTGGAACGTTTAAGCTACTGTATCAAAGTTTTCTGGTGTCTGGTGCATCACGATCGCGAATCAGATACCTGATCGCAAAGAGTTATTGTGAGTTAACTGATCAAGGGGAGTTTGTTCAATCCAGGTGCTATACTGTACAGGTTCTTGTGAATGATTGATTCGTGGTTTCTTTGAAACCTATCCGCCACAAGTTTCCTCTCTTCGTTTCTGTTTTTCATTTTCTAAAAAAATTCCTTCTCTTCTGCAGGAGAGAACTTGGACATTGAGCTTGCTGGAAGCCAGGGGTCATCAGACAAATAGCTAACTGGAGTATTGTCATTTTCAAATAAGGCTAATTCTGTTGCATTTCGAGTTCCCTTCGTGTGGATTTTTTTTTTCTCTGTTGTGAAACTGTTTGCATCTTTTCTATTGTGTTATGGTTGTATTTGCTTAGTTTCATTTGTGTAACACTTGTTTTAATCTATCATTGCTTTTGTTGAAAGACATGGTACTCCCTACAAAGGCGCTATTGCAAGTTTTACCCATATACTGGGTGAAATATCCTCAAGGACAATGTTATTTACATGCCTCATGCTGTAAAGAATTCTCTACAGGTTTTACTGTTGAAGTATTTTCCGCAAGATTTCCAACAGGACTCCGGAGAAGATATTGGTTCAACCCCAAAATCTACTCCGCCTCCTTCTGTGATGTCTGTGACACAAAATGACCACTTTAATTTGATGGCTAGTCGTGATGTTGAATTTGATGAAGAAGCGAAATGAAGTAATTGGGAGGCTATGATTTTCTAGTATATATAGAATGGTATGAAATTGGGAGGCTATGATTTTCTAGTATATATAGAATGGCGAAGAATAGGATACCATGAAACATACGCATGACGTTACACCTACCTCCTTCTATAGCATATGTTGCATCCTTCTTCTCAAGTAAAAGACCATAAAATACGAGGAACATCTAAGATCTCTATAATGATACCAAACAGTTAACGACGTCTAGCAATTGAAGTCAAATGAATATACAAGGCAAAAAAAGAGGAATAATACATAAATGCACTATTTAACTTGGCTTCAGGTCGCATTTATACCTTTCAACATTAGGTGTGCACAAGTAGACATTTAAACTTATATAAATTGAACAAGCAGCACATGTGTCCTATGTGACATAATACACGTAGGATACATGTATTATGATATAGATCATGACTAACAACTTAAAATATTTAAAAGACATGTAAACAAATACCTGCATTACTTCCGATCGAGTTCTTTCAAAATTGGTTAACAAATGCAAGAGCAGGGGAGGATAGTTTTAGCAATGAGAGGTTCACTAGCTGTAGTATATATGAAGAAATGTAAAATGAAAAATTAAGTTGACCTTAATTATTTAAGCAAGTCTTTCTTAAACCTAATAATTTAACAAATCTAATATAATGCTAGTTGTTTGTTTATAAAAATATTTGCAAGTGGACACGTTTATAAGGTAGTTTCATGGCAATTTGGGTCTCACTTATTAAAGAGATAACCCATCATCTGTAAAATATAATTGAGATGAATCTTGCTTTGATATCATGCTTAAATAATATGTCATCAAATTATTTTTAGTTAACAAGTAATGGTGTGAATGGGTCTTTTGTCAAACAGAAATGATATAAATGAACATTTTCTAAAAGTTCGATGATATATTTGATATTTTGTCAAACAGAAATGACATAAATGAACATTTTCTAAAAGTTCGATGATATATTTGAGCATTTTCCTATTATTAATCATGTGTTTATAAATAGTATTTAATATAGAACAATTATTTACTAGTTAACTTTTAATAAAAATTTAATAGATCATATATTTATTTATGTATCGTTTAGTTATATGCTATTTTAAAAAAGCTTATTTACGTCTAAACTAGTGTAAATAATAAAATAGTCTTCAATGAAAGAGTTCACTAATTAATTCTCCGCAGTAGCTAACTGTATAAAATGAAAAGTTAAGTTGACTTTTTTTTTTGAATTATTTAATCAAGACTTTCTGACTCTAATTTTAAATGCACCGACCAGTAACAATAATTTAACAAATTTTCTAACATAATGCTAGTTGTTTGCCCATGAATCATAAATATATTAATTTGCAAGTGGTGGCATTTCTATGCTTATATTATAAGGTAGTTCACTAATTTACCTCAAAAGTAAGTTCTTAAGGAAGTACTCGCTCTAGTTCATATTAAAACACACAACACTTTATTGAAAGATAAAAGCAACTGTATGTTTTACACTGAAACAAATCAAATACAACAGAATAGTGAAAGAAGCAAACATGCTTACGATTGAAAAAAGAAAACACTCCAACTGATCAGAAACTCGAAAAAAAAAACAACTCCAGGGAGTACATACTCCATTTATTTAGCGTATTACAAATCACAAAAGCCAAACAGGTTTTCTTTATTGGAACAACCTTATCAGATGACTGGACGACAGAAAACATGAAATGTCGCGACATCATACACATGACCTCAGATCGAAGTCCCGATTCTCTCCTGCAGAATAGAGGAAAATTGGTTAATGAAATAACAGGGAAGCAAAGAGAGGAAAAGTGTTGCAGAGTGCATTCAGAATGTAAGAGAAAGAATTCGTGTTCTACAAATTGTTACATATACTAGAAGAATGAAATAATTACAAATAAAATAGTTTTACGGGATATTCTACCAAATGAGACATGTATAGAGATAGATGGAGTCACGTAAAATGTATGCCAAATGGAAACAAAGATATCTAGCCGTACTATAATGCAAATGAATTTGACTAACCTTTCAACTTCACTGTGTAGCCTTGGATTCAGATTCAGATTCAGGAGGGAATATGCTGAACTTGAATACCATGTTTTGAGTTTTCTTATGTTCCAGTATATCTTTTGCAGATTTGACCGCTTTGATTGTGTTATCCAGCTTCATCTCGCAAAGGTTAGGTATATCAGCCAGCTCAAATGGTATAGCGTTGAGCTTATCACAAGAGACAAG